TGGTGTGTGTTGGTGCAGAGTGTGCGTGGTGTGTGTTGGTGCAGAGTGTGCATGCTGTGTGTTGGTGGAGTGTGTGTGTGTGTGTGTGTGTTGGTGGAGTGTGTGTGTGTGTGTGTGTGTTGGTGGAGTGTGTGTGTGGTGATGGTGGAGAGTGTGTATGGGAGAGTGAGTGTGTGTGTGGGGCTGGTGATGGGCAGAAAGTGTGTGTACGTGTGTGTGTGTGTATGTGTGTGTGGATGGGTGTGGGGTGGTGGGGAAGAGAGAGAGTAGGAGTGTGTGGCATGGTGGAGAGAGACTAGGAGTGTGTGTGGCATGGGGTGGTGGACAGAGAGGGAGTATGTGTGCGTGGGAGGGGGTGGAGAGAGGGAGTGTATGTGTGTGTGGGGGTGGTGGTGGAGAGAGAGAGAGAGTGTGTGTGTATGTGTGTGTGTTGGTGGAGAGTGTGTGTGTGTGTGTGTGAGAGTGTGAGTGTGTGTGTGCACAAGAGTGTGTGTATGTGTGTGTGCGGGTATGGGACGGGCAAGGTGCATGTGTGTGCAATAGTGTGGTGGGGTCACTTGTAGTGCGACATGAACCCAAGATCACGGTTGAGGTCGTCCTCATGGGTACCGAACTTGGCTATAAGCCTCTTCTCAGTGACTCAGCGTTGTTGTGTATCCCGAAGTCCGCCTTGGAGGACGTTTACCTGAAGATCCAAGGCCGAATGCCCTTGACCGCTGAAGTGCTCCCCCAGTGGGAGGGAACACCCTTGTCTGGCGATTGTTGCGCAGTGTCTACTCGTTCGTTATTGTAGTGTCTGCGTTGTTTCTCCAATATACCATGTCCCAGGCGTCCTTGCCTGTAGTGTGTGAGATAGACAACGCTGGCCGAGTCACATGAGTATCTGCCGTGCACGTGGTGGGTGGTGTTCCCATGTGTAACGGTAGTGTCTGTGTTGATGATCTGATATTTTTTGCAGAGGTTGCCATGACAGGGTTGTGTGGTGTTGTGGTAGATGTTGTCCTGAAGGCTGGGTAGTTTGCTTCAAACAATGGTCTGTTTAAGTTCTGGCATGTGTTTGAAGGCGAGAAGTGGCGACGTAGGGAAGATCTTGATGAGGTGCTCATTGTCATAGATGATGTGTTGAAGGCTGCGAAGAACATGGTGCAGTTTCTCCACTCCGGGAAAGTACTGGACGACGAAAGGTACCCTATTGGTCGTATACCATGTCTGTCTTCTGAAGAGGTTATTACAGTTTTTCACTGTGGCACGTTGGAACTGGCAATCAATGAGTTGAGCATCATATCCTGTTCTTAAGAGGGCGTTCCTCAACACCTTCAGGTGTCTGTCGTGTTCCTCCTCTTCTGAGCAGATTCTGTGTATGCGTATGGCTTGACCGTAGGGGCTGGCTTTTTTAATATATTTATGGTAGAAGCTAGAGATTTGCAGCATCGTAAGGTTATCTGTAGGCTTGCGGTAGTGTGAGGTATTAAAATGACCATCCTTGATGGAGATGCATGTGTCCAAGAATGAGACTAATTCTAAAGAATAGTCCATGGTAAGTCTGATGGAGGAATGAAACTTGTTGATATTTTTAAAGCAACAGTACTATGTTTGTATAGTGGTGGAAGAAATAAGAGTGAAGATAGCTTGATGTGACTGGAACTGTGACGCTATTTTTATGTTTTATATATATATTTTAGGTGCCTGTTTAAAACTAGCCAACATGCTGGGGTACAAGGTTATGTTATACAAAATCTTAAAAATCAGATTGACCTAGCATTGAAGGTAAGTATGTCAATAAACCTAGAAATATTGTATTACCTGTAAATGTTGGTATGTACCTATGTATGTGTTTGGAAGTGCTGCGGGTTTTATAAAGTATCACTAGCAATAGCTTTGACTCTTTTTAGTCAGTTTTCTGAATTATTTGCCAGTCCTAACCTAATGCATGAAATATAAGCAAAGAATGAATTCTTCTTCAGAGAGGTCGGGTACATTATACAATAGAAGGTGCATGCTACCATACACACAAATATAACAGCAAAATAAAAGAATGAATCTGTGATTTCACTGAAACACATCTCTTCTGCATACTTATTAAATTTATTTTTTTAAAAACTTAGTCATATTGTAAATGAATTTTAAGTACAATTTTTACCTTTATTTTATTTCAATGGAGAAAATAGCCTAGATTCTGTAGTCGGTGGTGAAGTGACAGCACACTCTCTCAGAAAGCTGTGCACAAAGATCTGGCAATCTGATTTGCATTGGTTCTTGCATGTTAGTTTGATTCTGGCTACAGTGATTGTAATGCAGCCAGCCAGCTGGACCTCTTAGAATATGATTTCCCTGATTGGGGCTGGTCTAATCAGGGAGCCCTGGCTGACAGTGTCAGAGATTCTAGCACTCTGATAGCTGACTCTGAAGAGGCATTACTAAGGTATAGGGCTGTTCATGTGTACATAAAGAGTGATTTGGTGAGTTATTTCACAGGCACCAACTTAAGAAGATTCCAGGCATCAATCAACAATAATACCATAAAGCTGACTGAACAGCCAATCAAACTGAAGTATTCTCAAAATCAAAAATCTGAAAATAAAATGTTCTAATTATTTCTCACTTTTTAATAATTTTATAGAGATCAAAACAAATATTGGAACACACAAATTGCATGAATGTAGAAGCTGAAATATATATAAAAAAATGAGCATTTTTCATTGTCAAAATTCTATAACATTTTTAATATAATGGAGAAATTTGACATTCCATAAAACAGATTGGTTATTCAGCTTCAGAGAAGTAAATTAGAAAAATATAGTTTGGTGTCCATAAAAATACCCCATTATGCCTCACTCAACAACACAAAACAATTTGGGAAATTTCGCAGAAACAGGGCATAAAGTATAGAAGTTCATGTCATTTCAAGAGATTTCTAAAGATTTCCATATCTGTGGGCGCTTAACTTTGCACCCTGTGGATTCACAGGAAATCATTGGTAGCAACTTATAGTTTTCTACATTTTACTGAGAGTGTGCTAATGCCAAAAGTTGCTGTTGGTTTCACAGTTGTAGTGTTGGCAAATTCTAACAGTTACATTCTCATCATAACTGTGAAATCCGGGCCAATACAAGTGTGCTTTCTGTCATTTTACTTTTACATTTAGCCTTCACGCTGCAGACTTGCAAAAATGCTGCAGAGCAGTTTCTCCATCTCACAGCAACAACGTAACAGCATAACTACAATTAAGTCAGTCATTCCTGAGATTTGTTTTGATTGCAACACCACCTGACGAAGCCAGTTTTGCATTGCTTTGACTTAATGACAACTGCTTTATAACCAAAGACACCTTTTCAAGTTGATGCTTAAATATTCCAGATGATGTGCCACGTTTTTCTAAACAACTAGTGGCCAAGCTGAAGTGTAGCCTAATGTTTACTGTAGATATCTAAATATTTGCCCTCTTTATAGCCTTCCACACCCCACTTTTTAAAGTTCTGCTTCTTTATACCTTTTAATCTTTAATTTTTGCTTTCAGCCTGGCAATAAAAACGTGTGGTTCTCAGGCCCACAATTGATTCCTCTACTTCATTCAGTCCTTTCACTTCCTGAAGGAGCAGAAACAGACTTGCTTCAAAACTCTGATAGGTAGGTTTCAATACATTTGATTCAGGGTCCGGGTTAAACAAGTAGCAGTGAGTTAGCACTAAAACCCTGGCCCAGCCTGTGATTTCTTATGACAAGTACTCATTCTGCATTTTGTCACAATAAGTGGGTTTAGAATGTACGCCAGGTTCTTGCCTCCAAGATGCAAGGATCACAGAACTGCTGTTATAACACCTAGCTGACTGCAGTGTCAGCCATGACTTGGAAGCAGCTCGGTTACCCAGCTTGGCCTCTTGTTGGCAATGATGCAGCGCTGCTTCACAGAGCAATTAAAATGAGGTGTGTACTGCTAAACAACTAAGAGATTTCTATATTAATTTTTCTACAATGTTACATTTAAGCTGCGCAGCCATGTAGCACAGCAAGACTTTCCAGGAAGTACTCCCTCAAAATATTACTGCTGGTGTACGGCTGCACAAAAATATTTAAAGGGGCTATGTGTATATATAGTACCAAAACGCCTGTGCACTCCCAAAAACAATTAGAGGGAGCATTGCTTTTCATTACCCATTGTTATTATTTTCTTAAACCACACCCCCTATTTTTAACTGTTAGCTGATTTTACAGCTTCCGAGACACCAGAATTCACTCGTGTTTCAATTAGTTGACACCATTCTGTAGATTTGAGCCATGATGATATTAATTAGCAATGGGGAAACCATCAGAACAAAGCCTAATCTTGCCATCAGAATGCATAATTTCAAGTGGAATTACAATACGGGTAGGAGCAGACATCCTGGCTGATATTTCCCAACTGTAATCCAAGGATACTGATTTGTTGTATTCCTGTAGCTGTGTCTTTTATGACTTAGCTACATACTGGAAACTTATTGAATCATTGATAGAGCCCACCTTTTTTGATTATCAAGTAAGTAAAATAAGAATGTGTAATCTATTTGATTCTTTAAAATAATAAACAATTTCTTGTTTGTCATTGAAAGTAAAGATCTTAAGCTGGGTACTGATAAGCATGACTTTTCAGGGTTTTATTTATTCCTTTTTTGATTTAGGATCATGGCATCGCTGAATCTTCTAAGGTACCTTGTGATTAGGGATAATGAGTGGGAGAATCAAGTGAGTATTTCAATAAAGAAATAAACCTATTGTATTTATGCAGTTTTCATATGTGACTTAAGTTTTATTAGTGAGCAGTTCCTGGAGATTGATACGTACCTCAACTTAATTTACCTGGCTTCATATTTTAGTGCCCTTAACGAGAAGAGATTCTAAAGAACATCTGTTGGTTGCAGTACATATGATGTAATCAGGGCCCATACCATCATTTCCCAACACAAATTGTCAGTGGGAATGCAGTAAATCTAGAGTAGCAAGGTGCTATACTAATATTCCGGCTCATTTGCCAGGTGGGTACCTTGGATGTGACATTATGACTGTGCTGTCCACATCATTTTTACAGACAGCCTTGGGATTTAAGACATTGTCATTGCCAGAGCAGTTTAACAGGTTAGAAGTCCTGCTTTGCTGAACTTGGAGCAGCTAAGCAGAATTTCTAGTCTCCAGTAATCAAAAATGAAAAATTAATATCTTATAATCAATTTACTGTCTCCATGATGGATTAAATTCTTGATTCTGCCAAACAATTTATTTTTTCACCTTTTGCAGACTGGATTATGGACTAATCCTTTCTGGATTGATAGCTTCCTGAAGCCACTGCGCACTGCTTTGAATATGTCTAGGGCTCATTATGAAGCAGAGGTGAGAAACAAAAGACAGAACCAGAAAATCAAAGGTAGGTTCTTCAAATGGAATCTTGATATTTAACTGTATTTTCATAACCAGTGTGTTTTATGTTATTATCTTGAATGGAGATCATACATTATCCCATTTGACACTCTGACAACAAGAAGCAGGTGAAGTGCCTTCTCCATTTGGTGAGTGCAGCCAAATTTGCTGATTCTACAAAACCACTGTTTTTGTAAACAATGAATGGAACTCCAGCCTTTTTGACTCATTACAGGTTGAAGGGTACATTGGAAACTATGGAATAATGGAATTAATCAAACTAAGCTATCAATAAAAAGATTTTATGGAAGCAGAAAAGCTATGTAGGCAAGTGAAAGGCATATTATTCTGTTTCACCTTATTGATTACAGATACCCCTGATCGTGAAATGCAATGTTCGTTGACAGTTGGTGGTAAAAAGTTACCAAAAATGACCACAGCTATGCAGTTGGAGGTAAATGTCTTGCTGATTGAACATAAAAATATTCATTACTGTTTTGAAGTCGGCATCTTACATTCCCTTAAATGTACGTCATTTCATCCCTTATAACTGATATTGTTTCAGGTTCTACAGTCAGCTCTCTACACTTTTGACGTGATGGAAAGTGTACAGGCACGAATAGAGGAGCTGGTTGAACCAAAGATGAAATCCAGAGCAGAAGATAAAAATGTGGCCAGTGAAGCTTCATAGTTTCTTTAGGAAGCTATGTGAAAATTATGTGAATGTAATTTCTGATCTTCTAGTCACAACTAGAGGGATTCGCTTTGAATGCTCCTCTTCAAATCAGTCTTTATGGAGGATAATTTCAGATATTTTCATGAGGTACTTGTACTGAAATTCTGGAAAGAGACTACACAGAAGAGGTCATAGTATACAAATTTATTTAAAGTTTGAAAAGAATTTTCAGCTTGATTGCCTAATGAGTACAATGAACACCTACAGGTAGTTAAGAATTAATAATGATATGATGTTTGTAAATAAAAGAGCCACATCAAACTTCTTAAATATCCTGTTTCATATGTAGGCATTGGGTACCATCCTAATCAAATGATAGAGACAGGAGAGAAAAATATCTTTAACAATTATTGATGAATTTACTCAGAAAATTTGTGGGCCCAGACTTTTTGGTTGGCAGCAAAGTGACAGGGCTCACCACAGACTTTGAAGAAAAGGTTCACACAATGATCTCTGAGACATGAATTTTATTTTACTTTCCGTTGAAAGGAATTTTAACAGCAATACCAATAACATAAAGGGATAAGTTATTTCTATGTTTAACTGCACTTGTGTGGACTCTGAAATTGCTTTAAAAGAGTAATGACAGCAAACATGGACAGATTCCCTCCCATAACTACTGAAAAGTCCAAGTTATGTATCCTATATTTAAAATTCAATTATAAACTAGTAGGACTCTGAGAGCATCACTCAGTTACTACATGTTTCAACATTGCATTTTAATTGCAGAACATCACATAACAGCAGCTACCTCAGTCAGATCGTTGCTCATCATATTATCATGTAAACTCATGACTGGTCCCAAGGCTGCCACTTCCAGGCCTAAGAATTTCCTAATCCACCTGTTTACTGTAAAAGCAAGAGGTGCCTTCAAATTTTGAGCAATCTTTGTAGTTAGCCATTTCCTGCTGTTACTACTCAGTAGCACACAAGTGGTATTCTCCACTGACAGGATGCTGCCATCAAGTCAAAAAAAATCTACCTGCCACATAAATAAGTAACGTGGGATATGACTTTCAGGGCTAGTCTGATGCCAAGTATGTAGGCCCAAAGACTGGTGGACCTTACCAAGTAGCATATTCCTTCAGGTGTTTGCAGCAGGCAGAATATTAACTGTTTTCAATCAGCCTATGCTTGTACACTTAGAAACGAGGGCAAAAATTTCCACTTCCTAGTGTATTGAGAATAGTAATGTGTTACAAGTTAATTAGGGGAGAGTTCATAAAACAGACTGGTGCTGTCAAGCTAAGTTGTTAATCTTTAGTTGGTGAGATCACTTTCTTGCCGTAAGGTGGTGCCTTGTGGCCGCTGCATCATGCCAAGGCAAGCTACATGGGCACTTTCTTGGGCCACTTTACATGAAGTCCAAATTACTAATCTGCATGGAAGGTTTATTGTCAGGCTTTAAGGTAAACAGAACATACATAAAACATAGAACAATACAGCACAGTAACAGGCCATTCGGCCCACAATGCTGTGCCGAACATGATGCCACGTTAAACTAATCTCTTCTGCCTGCCCTTGGTCCATAGCCCTCCATTTCTTGTATATTTATGTGCTTATCTAAAAATCCCTTAAACATCCCTATGGTATCTGCCTCCAACACTACTCCTAGCAGTGCATTCCAGACTCCGACCACTCTGTGTAAAAAACTTGACCCTCATGCCTCTTTTGCACTTTCCCCCTCTCACCTTAAATGCATACCCCCTAGTGTTAGACATTTCAATTTTGGAAAAAAGATTCTGACCATCAACCCCATTTATACATGTCAAATTAACAGACTTCTATCAAGTCTCCCCTCGGCGTCTGCCGCTCTAGAGACTACCCCCTCCTTATAGCTCACACCCTCTAATCCAGGCAGCATCCTGGTAAACCTCTTCTGCACCTTCTCCAGAGCTCCACACTCTTTCTGTAATGTAGCAACCAGAACTGAATGCAGTCCTCTAACTACGGCCTAACCAAAGTCTTATAAAGGTGCAACATGACATCCTAACTCTTGTACTCAGTTCCCTGACCAATAAAGGCAAGCATGCCATATGCCTTCTTTACCACCCTATCTACTTGCATGACCACTTTCAGCGAGCTGTGGACTTGAACCGCAAGATCCCTCTGTACATCAATGCTGTTCAGGGTCCTGCCATTAACTGAACAGTTTTGTGGTTGTTTTATTTTTATTTCAACAACAATTCATTAACATTGCTGAAAAAAGAAGTGTGCAGTTCAAGCTTTTTCTCTTGTACTCATCAGGACAAAATTATAAAAATACCAAGTTTGAAAGATAACAACAATTGATACTGCCTATGCTAAGAACTACACTAACATCCATCCTAAGATTTTAGTCAGGCCTGCAGAGTGGCTCATTTACACAAGACAGGAAATACATATATTCACACACAGGCCAAGTCCAGACATCGTGCCTTTTTGAACAAAACCGTGGGGAAATGGCCATTCTGTGGTGCAATCTCCACAGCAATGCCTTAAACAATCAAATTTGATTTGCCTGGTTTGAATTTTAACAGAAGATTGGCAGTTCACTGTTTCCTGATGCATTCTGTATGGCAAAGCCTCTACCAAAGAGAGTCCCCTTGCCATTCAATCATCACCTTCTTACAGTTCTGTTTACATTGTTTTGAGATTTGGTATTCTTGCATTCTGTCCTGAATGTGACAATAGGATGTCTCCTTTCACAGTGGGTCTGTCCAATACAGAACTATTTATATAATGCCATTAAAATAACAAAATCGCCAGGATCAAAAACAGAAGTTGCTGGTGAAACTCAGCAGGACTGGCATTATCCATAGAGGGAAAAACAGAGGCGACATTTCCAGGCTAGAGTTCTGACCTACTCAGACTTTTGTTTCAGATTTGTAGCATCTGCAGTTCTTTGTTTTATTTTAAAATACCCTACGCAATACCCACAATATTATGAAACATGGCCTTTAAGGATTGAAAACCTATTCCAGAACTTGGGGCCCGGCCACAGAATTCCTACTACTAGTGGTGGAGCAATGATGATTAGGAATGCACCAGGGACGAGAATCAGGAGACTGCATGTGTCTCGGGGGTGTGGGGTGGAAACAGTGTATCAGGGAAAGGCAAGGCATCAGAATTTGTTGTTTGACTGAGAGTCAATGCATGTCAGTGAGCACAAGGTCTTGCTGCAAACTGAGACATGGACAGCACGGTTTTGGATGCTCTCAAGGTTGTAGAGGATAGAACACTGGAGACCTATGTCTGTGTTAAGCTTAATACTGCATTCAATTCTGGTCTCCCTGCAAGAGGAAAGATATTGTGAAACTTGAAAGGATTCAGTAAAGATTTACAAGGAGGGTTTAAGCTGTAAAGAGAGGTTGAATAGGCTAGATTTTTCCCTGGAGCATCGGAGGCTGAGGTGGGTGACTTTAACAAGTTTATAAAATCATGAGGGACATGAATAATCAAGGTTTTTCTCCCCAGGGTAGGGAGTCCAAACCTGGAGGGCATAGGTTTATGGTGAGAGGGGTAAGATTTAAAAGGGACCTAAGTGGCAACTTTTTCACGCAGAGGGTGGTGCATGAGCGGCCGGAGGAAGTGAAGGACGCTGATACAGTTACAACATTTAAAAGGCATCTGGATGGATACATGAATAGTAAGGCTTTAGAAGGATGTGGGCCAAATGCTGCCAAATGGGAGTAGATAATTTAGGACATCTGGCCAGCATGGATGAGTTGGACCGAAGGGTCTTGTTTCCATGTATTCAAGTCTTGAGATAGCAATGGCATAAATGAGGATCTCAGCAGCATATAAATTGAGACAGGGGCTAAAATAGGCAATTCATTCTTATTTTTTCATTTGTTGTGGACAAGGCCAGCATTTTATGCCATCCCTAATTGTCTAAAAACTGAGCGGCTTGCTCTGCTATTTCAAAGGGCAGTTAACAATCAGCCTTGTTGCTGAGGTTCTGGAGTCAAACTTAGGCCAGACCAGATATGAATGGTGAACTTTCTCCCCTAAAAGGACAGCAGCAAACCAAAAGGTTTCCCAAAAAATCAATAGTGGTTACATGGTCACCACCAGACTGGTTTATCATTCCAGACAGATAGGTGAAAATAGGCAGTCTTGGTGAATGAAGTCAGAAGCTCATCTTGAGGTCAAATCTGACACCATGGTTGTGAACAGATTGACTTAATCAGATTGTTGCCAGGAAGAGGGATGGAGTCGGGAGCTAGGAAATGGGAATTTGGAGTGGAAACTCAAAACAATGGCTTCAATTGTGCAAAATACTTCTTTGGAAGAAATCACTGCTTATCCAGGATGAAACGTTGGATAAATTAACAATGGTCTGAAGGCACTGGAGGTGGTATGACAAGGCAGAGCTGCATGATATCAGGACACAAATGAAAACTGATGAACCATGACACCGAGGGGCATCAGTACAATGACACAGTGGTCATATTCCAGTCACAGTCAAACCAGCTTGTTACACTATGGGCCAAGCACTGGAAACCAATGTAATCAGCATGGACACAATGGGCTGAATAGCCTCATTTTGTACTATCTGAGGTTAACATCACTCGAGACCCAAGTTAATGCTCTCGGGCATAGGTTCAAACCCCACTAGAACAGTTGATGCAGTTTAAATTAAGTTATTAAAATCTGGAACTGAAAGCTAGTCCGTGGTGACCGTGCTGTAAAGGGCTCCCTCCCCAGTATCCAAGGGGCCAAACATACCTTCCAGGTGAAGCAACACTTCACCTGCACATCTACGTTCTGCTTGCAAAAAAGATCCTGAACTACCTGTTGCCTGCCACTTTAACGCACCACCCTGTTTCCTGACGAAATGTCTGTCTCTGGCTTGCTGCAGTGTTCTAGTGAAGCTCAACGCAAGCTAGAAGAACAACACCTCATTTTCCGCTTGGGGACCCTGCAGCCCTCTGGATTCAATATTGAGTTCAATAATTTTAGGGCCTAAACTCTCCCATGTCCCAGCCCCCTACCCTGCACACCAGGCTTTATTACGACATAGCCTGCCATTACACACCACCTGTTATTAGTCACTAATAGTATCTATTAACAACTATTTACCCTCCCAGCCTGATCATTATCAACTCTTTGTCTGTCCAACTGCTCTTCTCTGTCTTTAGGCTCTATCCTAACGTTTACTCCCTACCCCATCCACCTCCCCTTTTTTCTGCATATAAACTGACATTTTCCCAGCCACCATCAGTTCTGAGGAAGGGTCACTGGACCCGAAACATTAACTCTGTTTTTTTCTTCATAGATGGTGCCAG